GACAGCAGGGAGCGACTCGCTGTGTCTCACACAGCTGGGAGCGACTCGCTGTGTCTCAGACAGCCGGGAGCGACTCGCTGTGTCTCAGACAGCAGGGAGCGACTCGCTGTGTCTCAGACAGCAGGTAGCGACTCGCTGTGTCTCAGACAGCAGGGAGCGACTCGCTGTGTCTCAGACAGCTGGGAGGGACTCGGTGTGATTGACAGTTTCATACTGTTGGAACTATATACGGACCTGACGATATGTGCGGCCTATGTACTATTATATATATATACGCATGCACGCACGGACGCACACACGCATGCACACACATATGACACACACCTACCACAGGCAGAGTGTACAGAGTGTTGCCTCACCATTATACCGTGATCATCAGGGAAATACGTGCGTGGCACACGAGCTGTCCTGCATGAATGTTTTAACGAGAGGTTCCCCTTTGCAAGATAATTCAATAATGGCGAGCGAAGATGAAATCTGGAGCCGAATGCATTAACATTTCTGTGACATTAGAGATGGCAACTGCCTCGCCCGCTAGTATAATCCTCTAATCGATGCGGCATTTGAACGCCGATAACCAATGCGCTTGTCCGAATACTGTTACCGTTGTGTATGTTGTATCGTGCCATGATCGCCGTAACATGTTGTGTGGTACGGTTACCGTTATGATATATCGTATCGTGCTGTGACCGTTAATATATGTAGTATCATGCTGTGACCGTTATGATATGTAGTATCATGCTGTGACCGTTATGATATGATGTGTCATGCTGTGACCGTTATGATATGATGTATCATGCTGTGACCGTTATGATATGATGTATCATGCTGTGACCGTTATGATATGATGTATCATGCTGTGACCGTTATGATATGATGTATCATGCTGTGACCGTTATGATATGATGTGTCATGCTGTGACCGTTATGATATGATGTGTCATGCTGTGACTTTGTGATATGTTGCGCCGTGCTATGACTGTTGTAATATGTTGTATCGTGCTATTGCTGTTGCGGTATGTTGTATCGTGTTCTTACCGTTATAATAAGCTGTGTCGTGTAGTGGCGTTGTAATGTGATGTGTCGTGCTGTCAGTGTCGGGTCACATCTCTCTGTACGCAGCTAGCGCGTATAGAACCAATCTTAGGGAATGCGCAGCTTCATTACTACTATATATGGGCCGTGACGATTGCTGAAGCGATATAAAAAATGTTTGATGCGAACGAATGCGTTTGTAATAGCAGTGACTGGGGAAAGATACTAGGGGGATTTCTCGTAAAGGCGAACCGCCAGCGCTTCTTGATTAAATGAATTCGTTTCTGAAATATTTTGATCGACGAGTCGAAAATTCAGGTTCGATTAGATCACAGTGTGCATCCGTGCTATGAACTCGTGCGCGCTGTATGTAGATCCGGCGGATGAATACTTTCTGCGCTGCATGCAGATCCCGACAATGAATACATTCATGCGTTGGCATACGTCACATCTCGACCGATTCCGTACGTACACCCAACCTAGGTGGAATTAACGCAGGTTGCTGTAGCCCGACTAGCTCTACCCGTGTAGCCGGGCTGTACGTGTTCCGTACAGGGCTATAGGGAAACGTGTGGGGGACACCAGTGACGAATCTTAACTCACTAGCACCACCGATACTTCGTCATTTTAACATAGCGGCAGATGTCAGTCGTAGTATCGTTTACGTTCTGTAACGACATTATGATGATTATGATGAGCTGAGTTTGGATTTAGCAAGGAGGTCTAAAGCCAACATGTTTATCTTGCCGGCTAGAGTTGTTTTTTATTGTCCAACGTAGCCAACCATGCTCACGCTGTTCCTTATAGTACTGTCGAGCTATAGCCAGACCTACTCGCATCGGTCCCCGAGTGAAGGAAATAATCTTGTGAGCAATGACGAGTGCAGGTGAGATATATACAGGTGAGAATTTTCAAATGATGACGTAACGATATGTGTGCTTTGCACTGATTCTGTCCGAAGATTCCACTGGTTTAAAGAGCAAAGTAGGACACAAGTGTTGTAGTTTCTTTATCGGAAATGCGGTCAATTTCCAGCGAAGAAATTTATAGGCATGGGCGCATATACCTACACGATAAGGGAGTGGAGAAGGATAGCGGATTCGGGCGAGGTTTGCCTAATGCTGGACTAATGTTGACCCAGTCAACGACTAAACGTTAGCAGATGCCACGATGGCAAAAATCATTGGCCGGTGGCCGGTAATATCAACAAGCGTTATTTTGAGAAATTACAATGGCACCCGCTGAATTGGGGGGCATAGCGAAAATTATGTCAACTCGATTGCTATTTCATAAATATTTTTGCAAAGACATTTCGTGAGGCGCACGAATAAACGGACATTTCACACATGATTAGCGCGTGCTCTCTCGGTTGCTAGCCAGATGTACATAGAACGAGCCGTCTGCCCTGCCGAATGAGCGAAGAATTCTAGTTTTTGATGGGAAAACTTCAAGTTTCCTCTATTCGAGATATAGAAATAAAATAAAACGTATTTACACATCTCTCTACTTCTTTATTCCTACCCCTCTGCCGATCGGTTGATTTGTGCGTGATACCTGTGCATATACGTAACGGATGTATACATGCGCGCCGCGCGTGAATCAGGTGCGTGCGCGCGCTGAATGTAGATCCGCATGGAGTACCACGTGTTTAATTACGTGCAGTCGCTGCGCAGAATATTTCGTCGGATTAGCAGTAGCGCTGCTAATATTGTCGTTTTAAGCTGGCGCAAGCTCGCGTTCCATCGCTGTCCGTGCTTGGCGCAGGAAAATTGCCTGCCGCGAGAAAAATGCGAATCCAGAACGATCGCAAATTATTACGGCACGGTCTATTACGTAGCTAACGCGCATGCGTGAATGTATTCGAGTATAGTAATCGCCCCCTGGTCACGGAGCCTGTGATACTACCCAGTGTGCCTCGGTAGTGCATAATAACACACACTGTAACGTTCTGTTAACCCGTTGTTGAGCGCGTCGTGGATTGCTACGGTTGCGAAACATGGAACTACTGCTACCTGCATGGGTGGGAAACAGCAGGGCGGAATGAGCGAGTTGTTTGTAAACGTTGTACATTTCCATGCCAGTTTTCACTCCTATGTGTGAGCTAGTGAAAGAGACGGGAGGGGTTTTCTACATAAGTTGTACATATGTCTGTTGGGTTTTACTCTTACACGTGTTAGAGACAGGAGCCAGGGCGTGTGAGAGTTGTTAGTAAATTTGTAAGCTTCACCGTGTGTCTTTTACGGCAAACCAACGGCCGTAGCGACGGCGCTGGGGTTGGCATCGTTGACATATTAAAAAAAGCACATCACAACATTGCATTTTATGAATTGCAAAGCAGGCACACTATACTAAGCAGGTGTTTGTCCATGCTAGATGATGCGAGAAGGTATTCAGCGTTGATACTGCATCTTAAATCAATAGCCTATAATTACGAATGAATTAATACATCATTATAGAAATCTGTACGTAAATGTTCGTTAACTACGCCAATTTATTTTTTAGCCGTAAACGTGACAAATTCAAACACAAATCCGCCTTGTTAAAGCGCATATATTCGCGTGAATTAATTACTAGTCAGCTACACTTGCTATTGAATTCGAAAGCCTTTGAAGACGCCTTATATTTTACCGATACGCCAAAATTAAATATATTCTCGTTTGCTCCGCTACGGCTTGAGATCCCCTCGCAGTGATCAGCTGTTCAGTAAGCAGCAGGCACTGACCGAGTGCGAGTGGGAACGCTGTTGTATAGGTGAGGCGGGAAGCCATGCGTTTGTGGCACGCGTAGAGAGCAAGGAAATGACGGATCGGTTTCCACGGTCGCAAAATCGCGCGGTGGCGTCTATTGTAGTTAGACAAGGCCGGGGTGATCTCTATAGCAGTTTTCCAGCCTGTCACGAACAGAGCGGATGTGTTCGTTTACATATAGGTGAAGTCGTGACACACACACACACACACACACACACACACACACACACACACACACACACACACACACACACACACACACACACACACACACACACACACACACACACACACACACACACACACACACACACACACACACACACACACACACACACACACAGCGGATTGCGTATACAATGCACTCAGCAAGCTTCTCTTGCTCAGTGGTGGTTGCATTCTCTTCTCTAACCATACTGCCTACGCTCTCTCGTTCCCAGGAAAGGCAGCAAGCGATGGAGAAGATGGGTATATCCGTGCAGACATCTGGGATCCGGGTCGAGAAGGACAAATACTACCTGGTGAATCTGAATGCTGATCCTTCGCTTAATGAGCTTCTCGTCTACTATCTGAAGGTAAGCCGCAATGTTTTTCTGCTGTGAGTTTATCCGGCTGCGTGCAGTTACGTGCGTGTGTGCATATCCGGCGTCGGTGTGTGTGGGTGCGCGTGCCGTGCGTGCGTGCTATGTGGAATACGCGTGCAATTAGTGGCCGCTATACTCTATACTATAGTATAGATTTCTGCGTCAAGTGGATGTTTTTTTCGTGGCATTTTTTAGCGAGCGCAGCAAACTTCGTCTTTTCTAGTGTAACCGAGTAGCATTTTTGTTCTGGTATATTTTTTCTTCGACGGGGAGTAGTAAAAGTGCAGCGGTATTGTTAGCTATGTCGAGTACGCTGCGTGTGACTGAGGACCATTTCCTCCGTCATGCAAAGAAATTGAATTTCAGATTGTCGGCGTAATATTTATTGATGAAGCGGTGGGTTGGCTACGTGTGTAGTAGGAGCTGAAATACTTAGTGGAATGAGTGAGGGAGAGGGAGTGAATTGGAGAGAGCGCGAGAGAGAGAGAGAGAGAGAAAGAGAGAGAAAGAAAGTCAGACAGACAGAGGAGAGGAGAGGAGAGAAAGAACGAGAGGTGGGGTGGCTCTATACGTTTGACTGCGGAGGAATTAAGTGCGATTAAGTGTTTTGCTGTAATTTTTTACGCTGCTGCGGAGCCACCTTTCATTCGCGTGGCTGGATTTTTGTCATACGGGAAATGCGTTTTTGTAAAGGGCCATGATTTTTTCACGTAACGGTTTCTGCTGCGTGAAACTGCTGTGTGCAGACGTGCTGTCGTATAGTGACCCGTCTCCCATATATGGCACTGGTTTTAGTGTCGCCGGCGAGCTATTCAGTGCTGCGATGCAATCTAAAAGCGTCAGTGCTTTGCTGTACAACTCCGTTTTAGATGATTGCAGTATCGTCATCTTCAATCGAGGTGTTCTCCATGTCGTGCTCAGCCAATGTACCAGTTAGGGTAATCATTACTTAGCCCTAAAGTAGAACCTCGCATTTATAGACACGCTCCTAGTTTCTGCTTTTACCTAGAGACTTAATCTTCCCTAATTTTTACATCTCTCTTTGCATCCTTTCACCTATCTGCCTGCGTATATATATATATATATATATATATATATATATATATATGTGTGTCTATATGTATATATATATATATATATATATATATATATATTAGTGACAAAATACTGACCCACTCTGTGTCAAGCTGGGGCATGTTGTTATCTATTTAGCTTTCACATGATTGCAAATAGTGAATGCCGGCATCGGATTTCGATATTAAAACCTTTCTGTTACCAGCATAATCGTGGCAAACCGCATTTGCAGTCTGCCGGCCGCTACGGCTGTTCTAATGTGTATGGATGGCAGCTGCGCTTGCTCTGTCTTGCTAAGGGCTTCACTGACCAAACTGTTGGGATTCGGTGCTTTTCGCGTAGCGGGATTAGCTGGGATGTGTTTAGCATGACAGTAAATTAAGTTACCGCCTGTTGTTTGATCTGGAAATTGGACGAGAGTTGGTTGTGAATGGCTGTTTTCGAGTCAGGCGTTAGCTTTCAGAGTTCAGAGTGATCTGCTGGGACCGCGGTATGCTGTGTACGACATGCGCAGCAAGAGATGAGACTAGTTCGGTATGTGGCTCTTATGGCTTACTGGAGTGGTATACGTAGCATGCATGGATGGGGACGGAGTGGGTATATAGAGTGGTGATAGATAGAGGTATTACATACGTGATGAAGAGGGAGGTGTAGCGCAATGTTTGGCATGGGCGGTGATAGAGGTGTGGCGAAGAAGAATGTATTAGAGGAAGTAGGGAGCAGGGTCGTAGATGCATGAGGTGGGTAGTAGGCTATGGCAGGCATGGCTGCCATAGGAGGTCACGCAACATGGTCGGGAAAGGTGTTTAAGTAACCTGGTGGGAAAGGAAATGCTAGTAACGGCATGCATGATTGGGTAGAAGGTATTATATACATAGTGGGCAAGTAGGTTTTTAAGAAGCGGCGATTGGGAAATTAGGTAGATAACATGTTTGAATGTGTGGCAGGAGAAGAGCTAGTATAGAAAATAAGGCATGACAGATACGTATATATATGTATACGTATACGTTATGTACTCGATTGCTATTAACGGTGGGCATTGGATAGATGCGGCCATAAGAATAGATGGGACAGTACGAACTCTAGTCGGCAGCTCAAACACGCATGCGCGCACGAACACACGCACGCACGCACACACGCACACATACAACTGCTACTATACCTCGATGGCGTATCGTGACGGGCCGAAACAGCCGCAGGAAGCAGTTTTATGCGATCATTGAATGGAATTGAATCAATCTCGGCGGACGCTTTCGGCGCCGTCACCGTGCGCACGCTCTCGCCGCCGTCATGTGCGGCTGGCCGGCGCGCTGCGGCCGCGCAGTTACATGACACACACACGACAAGCGGCTGCAATTACACCAGCATCGATCCCGCCGCCACCTCTCCCTCACTCCCCTATATATATCTAATATATATATATATGTGTGTGTGTGGGTGTGTGTGTGTGTGTGTGTGTGTGTGTGTGTGTGTGTGTGTGTGTGTGTGTGTCGGAGTCCAGTCGACAAGCGAATGCCGCCGTTAATGCGAGCAGCACAGACTCAATGACCGAAGACGAATGGTACGTCGTAAC